TGTCCTTGAACTCACAGAGATCCACCTGCCTCTGCCTCCCAAGTGCTGGGACTACAGGCGTGCACCATCACACCCGGCACTTGTATATTTTTTAGTGGCTTCCACTTCTTCCTGCTGATGAAGCAAGGGTTGCCACTGTTTGGCTGTTCAGCTTCCACTAACCTCAGTAGGAAAAAATTGCATGTAGTAAATGTGAATATTTTTTAATCCCTGCAAAGAATTTCTTTCAACAAAAACAAAAACTCATCTACTATGAGTATCTGTTGTACAGCGAATAGAGGAAAAGGCTAAGAGCAATGCTAAAAAAGTCAAAGACCACTATGACCAGGTCATTAGCTCCTGCTTGTCTAGGAGATACTTCCCAATGCCTGTCCTTCAGGAAGTCAGGAGGAAGGTGTGTTGAAAAAGAGCAAAAATTTGGAAAGAGCCCTTTAGGTAGCTCTCACATGTGAAATGAGAGGGGTTGTGATGATTCAGGTGATTTAGGGCTTTTCAAAGACAAATAACTCATTATCCTTACTAAAATACTTAAAACTCAAAAGAAGAATGAGAAATTCTCAAACTCTTGAGTGTTGATGGGTGAATTAGCCTAAAAATGCTGTTTGAAGATATATAAAGGAACTTTAATGTGGAACAACAAGAGAAAAACGATGTAGGGCATTGAAAAACATCAGGTTTATGGGGGGCCGGGAATAGCTCAGTGACTGTGTCTGCAGATACAGAAGTATTGTCAGTAAGGAGTGGCTTGCAAGATTTAAGAGAAACATTGTATGTAGAATTCCACTGTCCAAGAACCTGCTGTTTTTTATTACAGATAGGCTTTGTTGGTATTTTGAATAGTAGTGCTACAAATGAATGCTATATTCTATAGTGAAAAATCCCAAAACTCTGAGAGATTCTCCAAGGCTGAACTACCAGTAAGGCTACCACATTTCATTCTGAGTGACTCTTTTCCCTTGGACTTAAAGTAAAAAGAAGAGGGGATGCTGGGTGTGGTGGTGCATGCCTTTAATCCCAGCACGAGAGGCAGAGGCAGGCGGATCTCTGTGAGTTCAAGGCCACTGGTCTACATAGTGAGTTCCAGGACAGCTGGGGCTACAGGGAGACCCTGTCTCAAAAAGAAGGGGGGGAAGTATGTGCTTGTTTTGGCAGAGGGGCACTTCTGTAGACTCAGGCTAACACCTGCACAAGTGTGTAGACCAGTATCCTCTGTGCACTCTACTTTGACAAAAGTTGAGCCCATCCCTATCTGGTATCACAAATCTGTCAATGTCAGGTAATGGTTTAAAGATTAAATCCTACATTTTAAAAAGGGTTTATACTGAGTTCAATATTGTATAACTGTATTAATTCAACTGTGAACCTAAAAATTTTATAGCCACTTTTGAAAGAGATATATCTTTGCTCTGGAAATTGTTATTGAGTGTGTTAAAGCTGTAATGAAATGCTTCTTCTTCAAAAAAAAAAAAAGATGTTTGGGGTTAGAGAGATGGCTCAGCACTTAAGAGTACTTACTGCTCTTCCAGAGGACCCAAGTTCAGTACCCAGCACCCACATTGGGTAGCTCACATATGCCTGTAACTCCAGCTCCAGGGGATCAAATGCCCTCTTCTTGCCTCCTTGGTCACCTGCACATATGCGATGTAGCATACACACACACACACACACACACACACACGCACGCACGCACGCACGCACACACGTAGTTTACTGCTAGTTTAAATTTATAATGCCAGGTTCCTGACCCCTATTTTTTTCTCCCTCCCTTCTCCATAAGATTTGATTTTGTCTGAATGTCTAAGGCATATAAAAAGGAACTTATCAAATAAACTAGTTTTAAATTGTATCCTCCCTCAACATGTTAGAAAAATGGCTACCCATGGCAAGATGGGTCTGTGGACAAAGGTGCTTGCTGCCAAGTCTGTTGGTCTGAGTTCGATCCCTGGGACTTCTGTGGTGGAAGGAGATAACCAACTCCTACAAGTTGTCCTCTGGTCTCCACATGCATGCCCCCCCCCAAATAAATAAAATGTAATTTTTTAAAAAAAGACAAAAAGGGGCTGGAGAGATGCCTCAGCAGTTAAGAGCACTCAACTGCTCTTGCAAAGGACTTGGGTTTGGTTCCCAGCACCTACATGGCAACTGACAACTCTGTAATTCCAGTTCCAGGGGATCCAACACCCTCTTCTGACCTTCATGGGCAATGCACTCATACACATAAAATAAAAACACTAAATAGAGGCTGGAGAGATGTCTCAGTGGTTAAGAGCACTGACTGCTCTTGCAGAGGATCCAGGTTCGATTCCCAGCACCTACATGGTGGCTATGAACCATCCTTAACTCCAGTTCCAGGGGAATCCGAAGCCCTCTTCTGACCTCTGCAGCATTGCATGACACGGGTGCACTCACATACATGCAGACAATACACTCATACACATAAAATAAAAATAATAAATAAAATATTTTTTTTAAAAGAAAACACTAAAATATTTAAAAATAAATAAAATGGTTCACAGTATTGCAAGGGAGAATAAGAGAGAAACTGCCATAATATAACCTTTGAGAAGATGCTTCCCTGAATTCTGGCAATGGGAGCCCAGCGGGCTGGGGGCACAACATGGGGGTGGGGTGGAAGCAGCTGGTATCCATGGGCACTGCACACATGGGTGTATGTACATACATGCAGGCAAAACACTAATACACGTGAAATAAATTTCCTTTAAAAAAAGGAAGAAAAGTATGCACATTTATGGTAAGATGTTAATATTTTTTTCAGGGTAAATGTTCCCAACACAGCCCTCTGGTTTGATGTTTAGTATTTTGAGTGTGTGTTTGTGTGAGTGTGTGTGTTTCCAGTAAAACCAAAAATGGAAACCGCTCTTTCTCAAACATATATTTTAATCTCTCATCTACGTAAATTAGAATATTTATTTAATACTTTAAGTTTTGTAACTTGGAGTATTTCCGATCTCTTATTTCCATTCCACCCTAAACTTTGATATGGAAAAATAATTTTTTTATTTATTCAAAATAAGTTTATAAACAGCTTTATAAAAAAATCTGTTGAGTAGTATGTCTGCATTACTTATTTACAAAATGGTTAAGTTATTAACGAATAGGTACTCTGCTTTAAAAATAAGTACTATAGCTGGTAAACACTCCACTGTGATAATCCACCTGTGCACATGGGCTTTAATAAGATAAAAATCAAATTGGCTGCCAATTATCATGTTACGTATTTTATACCATGAGCAACAAAAGATGGAATCATTTCAGGATGGAAGCTAGGGTCAAAAGCAAGCAGGGAGTTTTATAACAGTTCTGTAGGTGGTGGCGGCAGGGATTCAGTGAGGTCTTGATCAGAGTCAGGAGGAATAGAGAACTGGTACTGAATCTCATGGTTGACATCCTCATGGTTTTTTATAAAATCTACTGGTGATAGGTGCAAGTTAAATGAGTCAGGGGGTGGTGGAAGTGACTGTTTGATCTCAGAATCATGATCTTCACAGGCTTGATTTAGACTGCCCAGAGATGGTTGGAGATTGGTAGAATCATTTGGCAGAGAGGATACTGTTATCATTGTGGGCTTGTCTGATTGGTTTCTCTCCTGTCCTTCTAAATCAAGAAGAGGAGGAGGCAGAGGCAGATCTGCATCATCTGAGGAAGAGACGGCCGTACCAATTGTTGACCTGTCAGCACTGTCTTCTGATGTGCCATTAACTTGATCTTTTACGTTCTCAGCTTTGAGGTTCTTGGTATCTTCAGTGTTTTCACTCGCTTCAAACAATTTAACTTCTAAATCATCTGGTAAAAGTGTGTTTTTGCTTGGCTTCCAAGTCATAAGTGAAACAATTGATGTACGTTTTGTAGATGCTTCATTTTCTCTAATGTTATCCATACATAGGTCTGGTGTTTCTCCATCAGCGAATGGGGACCTGCCCGCCCAGTTTTGATCATTTAAAACTGGTTTCCTCAGGTATTTCCACAGTACAATTATTAATATAACCACTAACAAAGAAATTAAAATTGCACCAATTAATATGGCAGCAATTGCATTATAGTTGGTTTTATGTGGAGTTCCTTTGCCGCTGGTAGGGTCTGAAGTAAATGGTGATGTGTTCTTAGGTAAATTGACAGTCCTAGGTAAATAAACAGGTGGTGTGGGCTTTGTGGATTGGTAATGAGCAGTCTGTAGTACTGGTCTTCCAGAAGAGGTAGGAGCAAGTGATGGTGAGGAGCGTGACTGCTGAGTGGGAGTATGGACAAAAGGTCTTGGTGTTTGTCTGGTGAATGTGTGGGTAGAAGGTGGTAGTTGTCTGGCAGAAGTGAAGCCAGGTAGTGGTGTTAGTAGGAAGGAGTTGTTGACTGTTGATATTGCTTGTCTGGTGATGTTATAGGCAGATGGTCTAGCAGAAGTGTGTAGTGCTGGTTTTCTAGAAGAGACATAGACAGCCGGTGTTGGTTGTCCATCCGGGATTTTGGCAGGTGATAATTGTTGTCTTGCAGAAATGTTGTTGAATTGTGTTGTTTGACTCAAATCATTCCCTTTTGTGTTTGGAGAATTAGTTGAGGCATACGGCACTGGTGATACAAGTAAAGTAGACTGTGGCTGCTTCTCTGTTGCAGATGCTTCTGTTTCTGAGAAACGTGCATTGTTCAGGTATTGACAAAACAAAATTAAGATGAAATATTTGGCATCCATTTCAGAACGTTCCCTCCTTACCAGTGGTTTTACAGTAAAAGAAAAAAAGAAAGACAATTCAGTATCATTTGGTGTTATATTTGACTTTTTATTACAGTGCCTGAAATAAAGTTGGGAGACACGTGATTAGTATTTATTCTAGTTTATCCTTAACAGATGTAAATGGCTCTTGGATATACTGTAGTTGGTAATGTAGCATTTGGAGTTCCTGGGGAATAATATTAGTTCTTTTATAAAATCTGTATTTTCCCTGCAGCCCCTCTTAACTTCCTTCCATTCCACTTTCATTTCCTGTCTTCTGAAGTGTGAAGTCTCAGTCTGCTGGGACCATGTGCTGTTTCTAGAAATGTACTGATTTTGCCTTCTTGAGGGGTATCAGTGACCGTGTTACCTTGATCTATTGTCTTTACTTTCTTTTTTCTCTCTCTACTCTCCATGTTTGGCAGTATTGACTTCCCTCACCTGTACTTCAGTAGCTGTTGTAATACAGTCTTCCTTTCATGTCACTCCAATCAGCTCTTCTTATTCTCCTGCCTCCTAAATATAGAATTTGATACTCAGTCCTCACACTTATCTTCTACTATTCTTTATTCTTGATTCTATAAAATTTCAGTTCTCACATTTGTGTCATAACTATCAAATCTGCACATCCAGCCTAAATATCTTTTGTTCTAAATATTTTTGCATAACTTCTTTTTGAAAAAAATTTTTATTTATTTTTATTTTGTATGTATGAGTGTATTGCCTGCATGAAGGTAGGTACGCATCTGTATCATGCAGTGCCTATGGAGGTCAGAAGAGGACGTCAGATTCCTTGGAACTGGAGTCACGGACAGTTGTTAGCTGCCTTGTGGGTGCTGGGAATCGAACCTGGTTCCTCTGCAAGAGCAGCCAGTGCTCTTAACCACTGAGCGACCTGTCCAGTCCCTTGTATAACTTCTTAGTGGGCATTCCATGTATATATATCTCATGATCAGCAAATTTAGCATATTTAAAAGCTACTTCCCTTGAACTTTCATTCGCATGTCTCTTACTCATTCCACTCTGCTACACAGAGTTTGCTATATTAGTGATCTGTGTTTCGTTTTTGTTGTCTGGTTCTGTGTCCTGTGCTAAGGATTTCATATTTTTAAAAATTTTACTATTTCTACATTTTGCATATAAGTGTATTGCTTGCGTGTATGTAAGTGCACCTGTGTTGTGCAATACCTGTGGAGGTCAGAAGAGGGCATTGGATCCCTGGAACTGGAGTTAGGGATGGTTGTTAGCTGCCATGTAGTGCTGGGAATCAAACTGGGGTCCTCTGCAAGAGCAGCCAATGCTTTTAACCACTGAGCCATCTCTCCAAGGATTTCATATTTTTGAAGGAGTCAGTTCATCTCAAAATCCTAGGCTTGGGGGCTGGAGAGATGGTTCAGTGGTTAAGAGCACTGGCTGCTCTTGTAGAGGTTCTGGGTTTAGTTCCTAGCACCTAAATGATGGCTAACAACGATCTAATAACTCTAGTCCCAGGGGATCTGATGCCCTCTTCTGTCCTCTTTAGGCAGTGTATGGCACAGGTGCGCTTACATGCATGAAGGCAAAACACTCATACACATAAAATAAAAATAAAAGTAGTTTTTTAAAATTCAAGGCTTAAAGTCCTAGAGTGGGTCTGGAGAGATGACTCAGCAGTTAAGAGCAAGTACTACTCTTGTAGAGGACCCAGGTTTGGTTCTCACACCCATGTTGGACAGCTCACAGCTGTCTGTAACTCCAACTCCAAGGACACCTATAATTATAGTGTACTTACACACTGACACACATATACACATAATTAAAAACTAAAATTTAAAAAAAAATCCTAGAGTGAAGTCGTTCTTTCCCAGCTGGTCAAGTAAGCCTGCTCCTACTTTCATTCATGTATTAGTGAATCATCTTTGTGATTCTAGGCCCTATTCTAGATTTGAGATATATTTTTTAAAAGTTGCCACTTTCAAGTATTCCAGATTCTTATGCTAAAAATAAATATGCAACAAAAGTAATTACAGTAATTTGATGTTTCCTCATGAAAGTATTCAGTAGATGAACAGAGAAACTAATTTCGCCTGGGAGACTTCAGGGAAGATTCCCCAGAGACAAACTGAAACTGAATCTTAAAGGACCATAAAAACCAATTAAGCAAATAAATTTTCCAACCAGGAAGAACATGGGCCTGGGGAAATGATGCATGTGTGTAAGGTTGGCAGGTAGGGCTTTTTGTGGGATGAAGTAGATTCTAAAACATGAGGAGTTAAGTTCCATTCTACTCATGCTACCTGACTGCACATGCACCCTGTCAGATAACCTCTCCTGTTCTCAGTTGCCGTTACACTAAGGCAGTTTTTGGCTCTGAGGATAATGTACTTGTTTTTCCTATCACCAAACATAGTGGTAAGTATCTGAAACAGCAATGTTATTTCTTCACGTAAAAGAAAATCTCAGACTGGGCCCATTTAATGTCTGTTGTAAGGTATAATAAAAGGTTTGAAAATACACTTTTTGCCATATTTTCTCACTCACCTACAATTAGTAGGACAGTAATGATAAGTGACACCCCCCTCTTTCTTCTTTTTGTTGTTTTCCCCTTGAAACAGGGTCTCCCTGTGTAGCCTAAGCTGACCTCGAGCTTGGACTTCTTCTGCCTCAGCCTCCTGAGTGCTAGGGATTACAAGCTTGAACCAGAAGGACCTTGTCTTAGTATAAGAAAAGAAAAATCATGTCTGTCTGTTTCTTTGTATTTTCCCTCTAGTGCTTTAAGCCTAAAATTTAAAACAGCTCTCCTTTGAATTCTCTTGCCTACTACTGATTAGTTATTTTAAAAGCATGCATGATCTAGTTACTGCTTCACTTGAGGATTTCTCCATTGCTGTGTAGAGAAAACTTCTCAACCAAGTTTTAATTTCCTTGTGTACTTGATAAACACATATTTTTTCTAAACACTCTTTTGTTGTTTGTTTTTCTGTTTTGAGACAGGGTCTCCCTGTAGCCCCAGCTGGCCCAGAACTCAGTATTTGTAGATCAGGCTGGCCTCAGTCTCACAGAGATCTGCCTTGTTCTGCCTCCCAAGTGCTGGGACTAAAGGCTTGTGCCATCACATACCACTAAGCACTTTTAATTAAGACATTTTCACCATGTCCAAGTGTGTTCAGTTTTTCCTAATCTGTTCTCTTCCGTGCTGACTACATGTCTGAGCCTGTCTTCCTCTTACAGACCTCAATTCAAATTCCCCTTCTTAAACCAAGTTCTCAGCTGGGCGTGGTGGTGCATGCCTTTAATCCTGGCACTCGGGAGACAGAGGCAGGCGGATCTCTGTGTGTTCAAGGCCAGCCTGGTCTACATAGTGAGTTCCAGGACAGCTGGGGTACAGGGAGACCCTGTCTCAAAAAGACCAAAAAAAAAAAAAAGTTCTCTGTGACTGACCACAGCCCAAAGAGATCAACCATTTACTGAATCTTATTGTCTTATGGTTCCCTAGATAATTCTTCATGAATGTACTGAACTTACACTTTTATTGGTCTAAATAATTGTGTTTGCTTTTTATCGTGTAGTTTTCACATTTTCTATTATTCTTATCCCATCAGAAAATAGTATTTAAAAAAAAACTTTGAAGAAGGTAGAAAGAAACAAAAGAAGAAAAATACTTATGTAGAACTTGTATTAAGTTGTGCTGTACCAGGTAACTTACAAACTTTATTTCATTTAACCTTCATAGAAGCAAATTGGAATGAGTAAAACAATTTGTCTGGTGTCCTTCACTATTAATAACAGCCAGAAAATTTAGACCCAGAACCGTCTGATTCTAAAGACTGCGTTTTCTATTACCCTACACCACCCCAAGTTTTCTTAATATTAGTTGCTCAGTAAACATTTAATCTATGCTGGGCCTGGTTCTCTGCCATTTTACTTTCACTTTGACTTCTACCGTAATATATGCAGAGAAACTGAGTATATTGGGTTTTTTATCCATTTTATAAAATGTTTAAAAGGGAAGCATTTGGAACTTTTGGCATAGATATAGGAGTTTGAGTCATCTCTAGATGGTCATTATCCATGTAGTTCCAAAATAATTGCCCCCCAAAAGGACTTGGTTAGAAAATATTATTCAATTTAATTTTTTAAATGTTTTTAGAAAATATTTTCCAAAGCAGCAAAATATATAGGCCACAAATTGTCTTCAGCCAGAATGTTTCCTCTTTTGTGACTTTGCTTAAAATAAAGAAACCATGCGGTTCCTGTTTTTAGTTAGCTGAGAAAGGAAATAGAGGAGAAACCAGCCCAAATAGGAACATAATTATAAATTCAGTTTAGCAGATCAATTTTGATAGGTTCATCACCTCCAGTGTCAATAAGAAGTTAGGAACATCCATGTGAGCTTTCCACTTGTCAGGTAAGGGTTATAGCACTAGCAAAACCAAACTCCAGTTTTGGATTACCCTACCACTTTCTCCCACTCTTCATGTTGCTGTTTAGCTTCCTAGGACTGCTCCAGCAGAATACTAGAATCTGCCAGAATTTTACTACAGCAGTTCAGAATAGTCTAGAAAAGAAGCATCAAGACTTAAAAAGAAAACAGAGTAAGTGATTTAATAATAGGGGGGAAACTGACTTTTTTCCAGAGGTAACGAGGCCAGTATTGTTACCTACCAGTGCAGAAGGTATTTAAGTATGTATCTGGTATGGACCTAAAGTACACAGTTTTTTCTTCAGAGAAAAGTAGTTAAATGAATATGGGGCAGTGAAATAGAAAAGTGATAAAAAAAATTTAGAATAACATAAAAAAGAACAGGGAATAAAAAGAAAAGGGTATGCAAAGAAAGAACACAAAAAGAAAAGGAACAAATGTAGTTTGCAATAAAGGAGGGCCAATGATTAGAAAAGGTAGTTAAGAAAAGTAAATAGCTGGAAAAAGTAGTGGCTTATATAGTTAGCAAGAAGTTACTGAAGATGATTGAAGTAGACGAAGTTGGGGGAGAAGACTAAAGTAGATAAGAGGCTGCCATGAAATGCCACTCCCTGTCACCGAGCTGTTCGTAGGTACAGCGGCCTAGCAAAGAGGAGCTGACCATCCAAGATGGAGGACCTGACTGAGCTGTCCCAAGCATACTTGGCTTTTATGTCAGGGGCCCTTAAGATTTTCTCCACCCTAACCCTGCTTCCCCCAACGCTACCCAGAAGTACACCTGCTAATTACTCTGAAGAACCCATGCACAGTCTATGTAGGACTTGTCAGGAAACTCCTAGATTTGTCAACCTTGATAGAACATTTTCCTTTGTATTTCCTCAGATTGGCACCTGAGGATTAAATCTGTTATTTTGGTCTTTAATTTTCCAGAATATTAAAAAAGATTTAAAGGAAAACATAGTTTTGGGTAGTAAGCACTTTAAATAGTTACAGTGAAGCCGAAGCTCTAGCGTATTAGGTGTCTGCTTGCCGCACACTGTCCAGGCCAGGAGTGCAGTGCTGCTGTCATTGCCTGCTATGTACAAGGCCAGGGTCTGATCCTCAGCTCCACAAAATACCTGCGTTGAGTGCTGTGAGTATAAGAAGTATGTCATTGTCTTTTATACAGAATCAGTGAGCTTCAGGAACCTATTCTAGACAAAGGCAAGTATAGATAGTTGTATCAAAAATTATGTCTTTCTGCATGACATGGGTGCACCTACCTACATGCAGGCAATACAGTCATACACATAAAATAAAAATAAAAAGTAAAATATTTTTTAAAAATTTTCTTTCAGTTATTTGATGTGAGACAAGGAAGTTATCGTATAAAGATAAGAGATGAAAACAGTAGTAGTATTCACTCCAACTAGTGAAGTTTTGAAACCATAAAAAGATGAATACAGAAAAGAAAACTGACCTTGAGCTACAGCAAATAGTGTTTTACGACCATCTTTTATCAGTAATAATAGTTACCATTTATTGAATACTTCCAGTACTAGGGTCCAGAAGCTGAGCAGAAAGTTGTTTACCTGGCAGAGTGTTAGCAGCTCTAAGTAGTGGCACTAATGCAGAAACCCTGGCACTCTTGTACCAGAACCCTTTACTTCTATTATATGCAGGGCTGCCCTTCACAGAATGATTATGAACTAGAAATGCTTTGTGAAGGGAAATGTCAGATCTCTGGGAACTGGTATGAAATTAACTTTTTTGGAGATAGGCTTAAATAAAGGTTAGGAAAAGAAATACCAGAAAACCTACATTAGTCCCATAATTCTCAGCCATTTAAGGAGTCTTGAATAGTTAGCATATAAGCTATCATATTTGGTAATTTTATTGAAAATTTGTGGTACTTTTTAAAATATTGAGCATTATGTTTAGCAAATTCAAACCTATTCAAAGTGGTAGTTTGCTTCCAAGTAGAATTCTGTAGGAACTCCTTGAAGTCATGAAAACATAGATATGATTAAACTTTAAATTTGAAGTGTTGAAATAGGGTGTAACCCACTACCAAATTATTGTTCCTTAGGATTACGGATCTCTAGAAACTCTTCACATTTTTATTTGGAAGACAAATTTACTTTGTAATTTCCCAGTTTATCTTTAGAGCAAGCATCTTATATATATATTAACAAGTTCTTTAAGGTTATTCTCCCCATAGCTGTTTTCCCTATATATTATACTTGGTACTAAAAGATCAGAGTACGTGGCACAAGCATATGGATGAGGTGAATATGTGTATGTGTCCCTATTTTATCATAACATTTTTGCTTCAGGGAACTTTTTAAATAAGCTATAATATGTATAAGTATCCATCTAATTCTTTTTAAGTCAAATGAAGATGACCATTTTTATTGTGGAAAAGGGAATTAAAAAGTAAAATATTAATCCCAGCACTGGGGAGGCAGAGGCAGGCAGCTCTCTGAGTCCAAGGCCACCCTGGTCTGCACAGTGAATTCCAGGCCCATCAGAGTTACATGGTGAAACCCTGTTTCCAAAAATAATGACACTAATAAAGAAAAATAATTTTAATCTAAAATTTTGAGTACAGAAACTTCATACAAAGTCAATTAATTTTTTTTTCCTTTTGTTGTACAAAAAAATCAAACCCAGGGCCTTATGCATGTTAGGCTAACTCTAACACTGACCTTTAGCCCTACCCTTTAGAATTTTTAACAGTATTTTAGAGGTTGTAAATTCAGTCAAAGCCCATAGAATATAGTTTTATTTTTAACTGAGCTTCTTTTAATTTTGAAAGTAATATTAACAAATATTTTGACTGAATAAATTTCAAAGGGTTGATAATATTAAAAACCCAGAAAAATCTTTCAGGCAATGTCAACACTGAATATATATTTTTTAAAATTCTTTGCAGCAAAACCTCAGAAACCTTCTGTGGACATCTTTAAACTATCGAGTGGAATTCAAGTTTAAAGCACTAAGGATATTTTGGTTTTTAAAATAAATTTCATATAAATCAAAAATCAAACCAAATGGCCTGTGTGAAAATGTTCTTACCTGATAACTTCTTTTGCAGAATATGAATTCTTGTTTTAACAGGACATGTTGGTGATTTGGCTAAGAAAGCAAGAGGGTGGTTCAGTTCAGATTAAAAATGGTCCTCTAGCACGCTGAAATGGTTTCTGTACTACTAAGGAAGTTTATCAATAGCAGTTACAGGAAGTGCAATAAGCCGCAAAATGACTAAGACGGTACTACTTCAACAGAACTTGTTTTGAAACATAATCTATATAATTTAAGTGCTTTAAACTGTTTGTAAATAAACCTTTGAGACTTCTTAGTAACGTGATTATGTAATTTGAATATTTAGGATGGAACCTTACAGAAAAAATTATATATTCTAAGGAAAAGCTTCCAGTTGGGTATTACACAAAGGGGGATTTCTTTTTGGAAGAAGTGAATTATATTTACTTGTATGATCATCAGCAAGGCAGTGTGCTTGCCCATCTCCTCATCTGAAGGACTGTTTCTCTGTATTGGAATATTGTGAGCATAGGATAAAATGATGTTTATAAACATGTCACAAAACAGTTGGTAGCCACTAAATGTTAATGTGATTCCCTCATTGGCAACACACAAAATAGAGGCAAAGCCCAAGTAAAAGTATAATTAAACTAATTTCACTAGCTTGTTTTGTGTTACTGTCTGTCAAGGCTTCATGCATGCTAGGTACAGCTCTACCACCTAGCTACACCTCTGGCTCTAAATACATAAAAATAAATCTTTTTTTTTTTTTTAAATGTGTATGTGTGTTTTGTATATGTGAGTGTATGCCACATGCGTGCCGATGCCTACAGGGGCTAGAAGAGAGCATCACATCCTTGAAGCTGGAGATGAAGGCCAGTTCTGACCCGCCTGATGTGGGTACTCGGGGGAACTGAACTGTGGAAGAACAGCAAGCACTCTTAACCACTGAACCATCTCTCCAGACCCCCAAAAACTTTTTAAAATAAGAAATTAAGCAAAGTATATTGAAAATAGTATGTATCTCTCTGAAGATTTCTTTAAGAAAATCATTTTCTAGCCTATTTTTCATCTGAAAAGTAGTGATTGTAATTATTTTTTATGGGATTAAATAAATGTAAAGTTTCTTCTTAGTTTCTAGTATAGTAGATTCAGCAAATATCAACCCATATGATACTTCCTGGTCACTGTGAAGGAACATAGATTCTTACTACCTAGTTCTTAACCTGAAGGTCCTTATAACTTGATAGAAGAAGAATAGCAGAATATATAACACCACATTATAATTCGAGTCAGAAGTGGGGTGTGGGAATAGATTTTTTTTTTTTTAATGCTTACTAGCTAGGCATGGTGGTGCACACCTTTAATCCCGGTACTCCAGAGGCTCCTCTGTAAGATGGAGGCCAGCCTGGTGTACATAGCAAGTTCCAGATCAGCTGGAGCTACAAGAAGACCCTGTTTCAAAAAGACCAAAAGTGAAAAATAATTAAAAATACTTCCTGCAATTCTGATATGTAGCCAAGGTGAATCACTAACCAAGAAGGGAGAATAAAGTTATGGTGGTATTTGGCAGAAATGTATATGAAGTCTTCTTGTCTTCTGTGTCTACTGTATTGTACAGAATAAGTACTAGTTAAGGGATGAGAGTTTTTTTTCTTGTTTCTTGTTTTTTAAAATGAAGTCTAGTTATTGGTCATAGTTATTGGTCATTTGGTTTTAGTATGGAAAGCTCAAATCAGTTTGTGATATGCTTAATTAAGATGGAGGGCTTGTTATTTTACTTGAAGCCAATTTCTTCAAAGGTTAAGCAATTACCTAAAGTATCCTGTTTTCCAAATTTGATCAAATGCATACACATGTACACACACACACACACACACACACACACACCCCTTTACTCATGTTGCTCTTGGGAATAAAATGAAAATCTGTCATTAACCAAATTACTTAGCATCCTTGGATTCCAAATATTAACCAACCTTAGGGTATTTATTATTGGATTTGTTGTTGTTGTTAATGCTTGAGATGGCTCTCATTATGTAGCCCAGGTTAGCCTCAAACTCAGGATCTTCTAACCTCAGCTTCCCAAGTGCTGAGATTACAGATATGGGCTACCAAATCTGGCAGGTGTTTGTTATTAATCCTCCAATAAGTAGATGTATACAAAAGCCAACTGTTATTGTTAAACAGTAAACATTCTTTATACTTGACTCTCTGTGAACTTCATCTATTTTAGTTGTCCTCTTCTTGAGCTTTGTAATGTGTTCTACGAAAATAAATGCAAGATACATAGTCAACTTTATTCTAACTTTAATTTATTGTACAAAATTGAAATTTAACATGTATAGTAGAAAAGCACTTTCTTCTTATGCCATATATAAAGATGAAGGGATGTAGCTTCAAGTTACTGTGCTGAGATTCGAGCGGCTCTGAATTCTGCCATATCTAGCGAGAAGACACCATTACATTAGCCAGTGCAGCTCTGATCATTAGGAATTTGACTTCTGCTAGATATTAAGGCATATGCTTGGCTCCTAGGACATACTAAAACTCCATAGAGTTCAGTTACATTCAGACAAAAATCATCTATTGCAGAACAAGAATATGTAGTTATCTCTTGTTATATCTATTAGTTTCCTTAGCTGCTTGGTTGTTTTATTTACTTTAAAAAGTATTAGGTGTGAAACAGTAATGCCATTTAAATAATTGAAGCAGGGCTATGTCTCTCTTTCTGGTCAGTTTGATGCTAAACTGCTTGTCTGATTTTAGGTCATCTGACCAGCACTGTGGCTTTAAATACCAACTAGCTTTATTTGGGACTCTAGCCTTGCTCATCGCTGCTTTGCATTTTCCTTCCCCGATGTGTTAGTTGAGTTTTTCAGTTCCTTCTTCACCCTTCCTTTCCCTTGTGGCTGCGAGCACTTCAGGAGATTGCATCAGGAGGTGGGACCCTGTGAGCTGTTTTGCTCTTTTCCAAGTGTCTGATTCAGCAGGCCAGAGCCCGCTGCTTGCCAGAAAATCGCCATTGCTTCTAGGCTGGCGCTTGCCTACTTGTTTTGACTGTCTGAGAGATGAGACTTTGTTTGCCAGAACCACAGTTGATAGAACTAGAAGAGTACAGATGAGAAAAAGCACTGCAATTATAATTAAGCAAATTAGCATGGCCATGTTGCTTTTGTTTTCCTCACAGACATCCTTTTTAAAAATTTCACTGTGGCTTTTGCTTGTACTTTCAATGCTCTTTGCTGTTGGAGAGCTGTTCCTGACAGCATAGGGTGTGTAGGGCTTCTGTGTGGATGTAGGAGTTAAAGCTGCGGGAGGAGATGATGCAGTGATGCTTGTAGAATTAACTTTGTGATCCATTGCAGAAGTTACAGGGACTGTTTTGTTTTCACTTTGATCTCTGCTGGTGCTGTTTGGAATAATGGAATCCCAGGCAGTAGTATTATTGACCCAGAGATGTATATAGTTTGCTTTTATTGCAGGAGACAGGGAAAAAACTGTTGTCATCAGAAAAACAAGATGCAGGTACTGTCCTGTGTGCCCCATGTCCATGAGTATACCAGCCATCTGTTGGAACAGCAACACCAGTTGTTAGCATGTGAAAGAGTAATGGCTTCTACTTGGAGTAGTTATAGTTAAAAAACTGCAGATGAGATTTTGCAAGTAAACTAAATTCATGCCTAACATTTGCTACTGAATTTTTCTCAACTAAATGTTTTCTGTATTTGTTCAGCTGAATTTTTATTTGTATTCTTAGATTATGCATAAACATTTTTATTTTGTTGTAATTTAGATGCTATCAAGTTAGTACTACAAGTATCTGTTCATTTTAAACTATATACCGTAGCTTTACAATATTTTTCTCCCTTTTAAGGAAGCATGTTAGAATTCCACTTTGAGTCTAATGCTTCTGCTTTTTATACTTTTCATTCCTCATTTAAGGATCATTCTTACTGAAACCCTCCACTTTCCAAGTAACATATCATTAATCTTGTAGTAAAGGAGAATATGGTCTATAAGTTTGGTTTCAAGTATGAAAAGACATTGCAAGTAGCGTTTTTTATGGAGAGAGGAAGGCCGGAGTTTGGTAGAGACTAAAAGAAATTGTCCTTCAATTAGGAATTTAAAGTGTTGTTTGTCCTTCTTGGGTGTTGTCATTTAAAACAATACTTTCCTAGTATTTATGGAGGCAGTTTTGTAATGGTAGTTGTTTATTGTGACCTGTATATCTTGTAGCTCACAGTGACCTTCCAAAAAGCAAAGGCACATTTGTTCTTTAAACTTAAAGATCTGGAATAACAAAGAAAAAGATTTCTGAACTCAAAAGTTCTACAAAAGGTGGTCTTTGTTGTCATTTTATAACTGCATTCTTTTTTACTGTTTTTGATATAAATTTAAAAAAGAAAATTTTCAGTAAAATTGAAAGAAAAAGATCATGGGGATATTAGAGACTTAGAATACAGCAGCAGGCACCTGTCCTTTCAAAGTTAACGCTGAGCAGCTGGGATGCAGCTTGGTGGTAGAGCATGCTCAGCAAGCCTGGGGCCCTGGGTTTAATGCATAATACCCTCCTCCCGCCCCCAACTGAAAGTCAGTTTAGGCCCAGAGCTTCCTAGAAGCCGGTACAAAAAGGGAAGTTCTGTTCTTAATTCTCTTTATCTACTCTATGATTAGAGATTTAACTGGGATTGTCATATCTGTTCTAGGTATCACTAACCCAGCAAGGGACATTTATCACCATTAGTGAGGTTTTCCTGTTTGGGGTTTGGGTTTGTTTTGTTTTTGTTTTTTGCTTTCTAAGACAGGGTCTACCTATGTACCCCTGTGTAGTCTGAAATTCACTATTTAGACCAGATTGACCTTGAACTCAGAGATCTGCCTGCCTCTGCCTCCTGAGAGCTGGGTTTAAGCCATGCTCCACCCCCAGCTGAGGTGTTTCTTTTATAATACTAGGCCAGTTCACCCAGAGCAACTTCTGTAAGAGCAGTTTATTCATAGCATTTATTTGAGGGGAACTAAAAGCAAACATTAGATTGTTCTGAGATTTAATGAATGAAATTCCATTGTTAAAGAACCATGTGCAAGCCAGGCATGGTGGTGCATGCCTTTAATCCTAGCACTCAGGATGCTGAGGCAGGTGGATTGTGAGATTAAGGCCAGCTGGGGCTACAGGGAGCCCCTGTGATACTTTAAAAAAAAAAAAAAAAAAGAGCCAGGTGTGGTGGCACTGGGACTCGAACCCAGATCCTCTGCAAGAACAGCCACTGCTCTTAACACCTGGGCCATCTCTCCACCCCCTCTTTAGACTTCTGGAGAGTTCTAAATTCATTTTATGTGTGTTTTGGAAATTGGACTCTGAGGAAGTACATTGTCGTTCTCTCATATTTTGACTTTGTGTGTGAGTATTGTGCACATACCTAAGCACGCTGAACCCCTCAGTGAATGAAGACTCGTCCTTTGTACATCTGCATTTATGAAAGAGAAAATTTCTCAAGGTCTCAGCTCTGTGGGTGCCTGTGTGTGCCATGGTGACATGTGGTGAGGTTGCTTCTCTTCAAAAGACAGGTTTTCTTTCCTGGTATTTCAGATAACTAGTTATAAAGCAGGGTGCACACATTACCATTCATAGTGATATGCTTTTTTGATCTGTCTCTTCAGGAACATAGTTCATCAGCTCATAACTCTTATACCCATGCAAGTGCTGTTAACCTGGCAAGCATGGTTGCAAAAGTGCACACCATTATTACCTGTTCTGTTGTCTAAAGTGGCTCACGAGGCATTCTGTTTCTACATATTTCTAAAATCTCTTAAAATGTGACTAAATATCTTTTTTTAATTAAATTATTGCCATGTGTGGCAGCCACGCATTTAATCTCACCACTTGGGAGGCAGAGGCAGGTGGATCTCTGTGAGTTCAAGGCCAGCCTGGTCTACATTGTGAGTTTCAGGACAGCTGGGGCTACAGGGAGAGCCTGTCTCAAAAAAGACCCCCACACACACTGAAAAAAAAAAAGAAAGAAAAGAATTCTGTGCATTCTGCAGAAATTATTTTTAAACTTGAAAGCACATGGGAATCATTTTTTCGGGTCTAGAGTAGGGCCTGAGATTCTGTTCCTGAACTGCTCCCAAGTAGCACAGGTGTCTCTGCTAGTCATACTTCTGAGCAGCGAGGTTTGATGTGAGATAGAGTCTGTCGTTAGACAACCTTTGTATGCTGTTGAAGTACAGAAATTGAGAGGAGATAGGATATGTTAAGTTACAGGCAAAGGTAGCATATAAATGATGCTTATTGAAAACCAACCTCTGAATTCATATTATATATTCAGAGTGGAAAGGAAAAAGCCTGTACGTAATGTTTTTGGATTACAGCTGTTAGTAGACCGTTGAAGATATACGCTGACTTTAGTGTAATAGTATTCAGCTTCAGTCATCAAGTTGAATAATAGGAATCTGTGGACATTTTTTGATTCACAAAAAAAATAAATAAATACATCGAATTAGCAAGCATTTCCATCCTTTTCTACTAGACTAGACTTGTGTATTCATTGCTAAAATCCTTTAAAGCAGGTTATTCTTGTCAACATTAGTTCATTCACAGTGCAATACACACCACTGTGTTTGTACACGTTAGCAGTGCTTACCACGGGGCAAATAATAGGCCCGCTGTTGTCTTCAGCCAGATGTACTGCTGTGCCCCAATAAACAAGCTATGACTAAATGAGACTTTCTCTTATGTTTACAAATGCCTGAGATCTGAAGAGCGTTCCTACATCTCGTATTTATGGCACAGAGTCTAGTTCAGATGATCAAAGTTGTTTTGGTTTTTTTGTTATTATTTTTAGTCAGATTTATAATGCCTGAGTGTTAGAAACAAGAAATTTATTTCTTTAATTTTCAAAAAAATAATAAAGCTTTTCAACTCACTTGAGACCGTACTTGGATCTTTTCTCATCCAGATTCAAAACTTCATGTTAGCAACTATAAATCTTTCCAGGTCTAATTATTACACTACTTACATTTTACATAACAGGATAAAAAACAGTATGCATGATTCTACTTTGTTAGTCAGATTGGCACATCTTTGAAAAAGTACTTCCTCAACACTAATCTGAACAGTTATACATAAAAAGGAACAAGAAAAGCCACATGTATGACCTACCTTACAAAACGATCGCCCAAAACCTTTATTTTAATAAGCTACTTCTTTTCTTCTTTTCTTATTTAAAGTAGAACAGTTTGGAGACTATGAAACTTAAATCTGCAGTCTTTAAAAAAAAAAAAAGCGTATGTACAGCTAGCTTTCTACTTTTAAAACCTAACCACAGATGACACATTTCCTTTCTGCTGTAACTTAAACACATGTCATGGGGCGGGGAGGAGGGTAGCAAAAACTCCAACTTGTCTAGTTGGCCACTGGGATGACAAGAGGCTTTGTAGAGCAAGTCCCCGCCTCTGCAATGGGGAGGGTTTCCACTTCATTCCCTCTGACCTTTAGCTCTTTATTTATGCCTGCTATCAGTTTTCGAGATTAGTATTATTGAATAGGAGTTATAAGATGGCATCTTTAATGTAGCATTAAAATAATTTCTAAAATTTGTGTTTACCACAGATTGATTTGGAAGCATAAATGTGGAATCCTTGGGATATTTTTCAGATACTAGAATAAGAAATACACATAACAAACACTTCAGATTGGAAACTGCAGCACTGATTTGAGAAATACTAGGCTTCAATTCTTACATGAGGCAGGAAAGGCTTGGGTGTGTATGGTCTGTTGGTCCTTCATATTCTTGGATTGATTTCTTCTTTCCTAATTTTACTGCCACTATAGTGACATACACAGACTACTAAATATCCTTTTTCTAGCCCCAAATACTTCATGTATCTTGGATATAACACTTTTGTGATCATATCCCTCTTTTTTTTTTTATTAGTGTCACAACTAACCACCTACTCCATTTCTTTTTTGTTGTTTTGTTTTTATTGAAGTTTTGTGTATTTCATACAGAACATCTCAAACAATCTTAATCATCTTTATACCCCTGTCCCCACCAGCACCATCCTATAGCCCCCCCATTGGAGCCCATATACTCTGTTATCCCTGTTAAGGCCCACTGTGTTGTCAGTATCCCCAGATGTTCCTCAGTGCAAGTCCATCCACTGAGGTCTAGTCATCCTGTCTAGCATCCCTTGTTTTAGGAAGATCAGCTCTTCTTCAGCTAGCAGCAATCAGTTGCCAATATTTCTTCAGATAAGATTGGAGTCTGATATTCATTTTCCCAGTTCTATGCTGGGTTTTTGTCTGCCTGAGTTTGCATGGGACTTGTGTATCCTGACATCATTGCCATAGAATCATATGAACAGGTTCCCAGGAGCTTGTAGGACTCTTGTTTCCCATGCACCTCCTCCCTGACTCTTACAGTCTTTCCACCCCCTCTTCCACAATGGTCCCTGAGCCTTGGGTGGGTGAAGTTTAATATAGGAGTCCTGTCCAAGGACCAGCATTCAGCAGACTCTTGATCTCTACACTTTGGCCATTTGTGACCTTTTGTCTTCCTGGCCTTCTACTGCATGAGGGAGATTCATTATTGAGAACTGAAAGATTTGTTAGTGTCCTCTCCTTTACCCCTGTTCTATGTTCCATGAGCCTTAAGTGTAGAAGTTTCATTGTAGATGTGTCACTTAGACCTGGGCAATTCATAGACAATGTCTGTGTGTGACCAGTTGTGGTACTTGGTAATAGTCTCTAAATGGTGCAAAATGAGTTTCTTTGATGAGTGGTGACTGGGACATTTGTCTGTAAATATAAGAATATAGATTTTTCACAGTGTAAGAAATCATATTAGTCTAAGAATGTGTCAGTCTTGGGGTTTTCTTTAAGATCTATGACCATTCCAGCCAGGTGTATTTAGTTATGTTTACAGTACCACACTTGAGTTTCTTCCCATTGAGTGGGCTTTTAAGGTAGCTGTTGATTGCCCCCAAGAAAAAAGTGCCATTACTGCACCAATGACGTATGCTGTGCTGGCCATTGATGTGGTTATTTGGTCTTGAAGCTGGTGTTGGATGTTTTCCCTTGGTACCTTCATAGCTCTCTCCAAAGCTGTGAGAGCTAGTCTTCAGGGGAAGTGGTTTCCGGTCAGTTACAGCTCTATTACTCCAAATCCTGTGTCCAAAGTATGTTCTGTCTTCAGCAGGTAGGGTCTTACCTTCAAGTTCTGGGAGGTCATCAAGGACTGTGGCAACAGCCTGAGTAATTTTGGGAGTCTCTTGGACCACCCTGGCCAAAAACTCGAAGGTTTCTCCCGTCTGGCACTGTTCTTGTTATGTAGCCTTTGGCTATACACATGGACTTATGTTGAGAAAATGTATGTATAATTTATTATTAGGTTGTTGGACTAATACGGTTCTCTCTAGTTTTTTTAAAACTAGACATAATCTCTCCTCCCTCTCTCACTGTCTAACCCTTCCACCATTTAAAGTGTCCCCATTTCCTTGATAATAGTCTCCTGTGGTCCCACCTTTCTTGAGCACCTTCTTTTCCTTCATCCGCAAGTTTCCTTGTATAACCCTCCCTCCCCCCTCCCATTTAAATACCCCCATTTTTATCCATATCTCCCTTATTAACACCGGTTTCCTACTGTTCTTCTCTCTCAAGTTCTTTCTTTCCCTTTACCTCCCTGGTTCCTTTTCATTATTCTGGTTCCTGTAGTTACATCTAGATACATACTCACTTATAAGGATTTGGTGCTGGGATCTACATATGAGGGAGAACATATGTTGATTTTTTTTCTGAGTCTGTGTTACTTCACTTAGTATAACAGTTTCTAGTTACATCCATTTACCTGCAAATTTCATGATGTCATCTTTCTTTACCACTGAGTAGAACTTCATTGTATAAATGTACCACATTTTCATTATCCACTCATTGTTGAGGAACACTTAGGTTGATGGCTAAGAAACATCTTAAAAGATGTTCAGCATCATTAGCAATTAGGAAAATGCAAATTAAAACCACTTTAAGCTTTCATCTTACCCCAGTCAGACTAAGATCAAGAGAACAAATGATACTAAATGTGGGAGAGGATGTGGAGAAAGGGGAACACTCATCCACTACTGGTGGGATTACAAACTTGAACAAACCCTATGGAAAGTAGTGTGAAGAACTCTTAAAAAACTAAAAATTATCTCTCTCCTATCTGCAGGCCTCTCTCCAGGGTAAGTCCATCGCGCCCTCCGCACCTTGACTCCCCCAGCCTCATTCAACCTCCCATCTCCCCTGCAGGTCTCTCCTCCTAGCCTGGGATCTGTCCCATTCCTTGTCTTGGGGCCCCAGATACCTGGGGAACCACTACTGCTTCCTGATCCTTTTCATCCAGACCAACTCAGTGCCTTCTCAGGTCCCCAGGAGCACTGCTTCTGGGCCTGGCCCAGCCCTCACCTCCCTCTACTCCTCTGGTCCTGCACCAACTTCCAGCCTCTTTCCAGGATGCGGGGGCTGACCTTTCCTCTTCCTGATCCTTTGCATCCAGAGCAACCCAACTCCTCAGTGAAGTCCCCAGGAGACCTTCGGGCCACTTCCCGCCCCCATCTGCCTTTGGATCTCTGAGTGGCAAGGCCACCAGCTGCCCTAGATCAGCATCTTTCCTGGGCCCTGCTCCCAGGCCAGTCCAACCCCCAAATTCCTGAGGCCAAAATCTTCCCTGGAGGGATCCAGACCTTAGGAGAAAGCCTGAGGGCATCTGATCCTCATCTGACTTGGGCCTCTGTGGGAACTCCTGAAGACAAAAGCAATCTGGCCACTCCAATATAAAATCAAAAGAGAGAACCGGAAGCTTAGAGGAACCAGCTTTTC